GGGGAGGAGGAAGATGGCGATGGGGGGGGGAAGGAGGAGGAGGAGGAGGAAGATGGCGATGAAGAGCAGGAGGAGGAATTAGAGGATGGCGAGGGAAGGAGGAAGAGGAGGAGGAGGAGGAGGATAAGGGGGAGAAAGATCGGCTATGGGAGGAGGAAGAGGAGGAAGAAGATTGCGATGGGGAAGGAGGAGAGGAGGAGGAGGAGGAGGACGAGGATGGCGATTGGGAGGAGGAGGAGGATGGCGATGGGGAGAGGAGGAAGAAGACGCTGGGGAGTGTCGTCTTCCTCCTCCCCCCCATCACCAGTTTCCTCCTCCTCCTCCCCATCGCGATGTTCTTCGTCGTCCTCCTCCTCCTCCTCCTCCCCATCGCCATCATGTCATTCCTCATCATCATCCCCATCTTCCTCCTCCTCCTCCTCCCCATCGCCATCATGTCATTCCTCATCATCATCCCCATCTTCCTCCTACTCCTTCTCCTCCCCATCGCCATCCTCCTCCGCGTCACGATCTTTCTCTTCCTCCTCCCCCTCGCCATCTTCTTTGTCCTCTCAATCGCAATCTTCGTTCTGTTTCTCCTCCTCCTCCTCCTTCCTCCTCTCCTCCTTCCCCATCGCAAGTTTCTTCCTCCTCCCATAGCTGATCTATCGCGATCTTCTTCTCCTCCTCCTCCTTGCCCTCCTCCTCCTCCTCCTCCCGATCGTGGTCTTCCTCCTCCTCCTCCTCCTCCCATGACCTATCGCGATCGCGACCTTCTCCTCCTACCCATCGAGGAGGAGGAGGAGGAGGAAGATCGTGATAGGAGGAGGGAAGAAGAAGATCGCAATGGAGTAGGAGGCGGAAAAGGGGGAGAAACATCGGCTATGAGGAGGAGGAGGAGGAAGAAGATGGCGATGGGAAAGGAGGAGACGAGGAAGGAGGAGGAGGAGAAGGAGAAAGAGGAAGAAGATCGCGATGGAGACAGAGAAAGAAGATGATGATGAGGAGGAGGAGGACAACGATGAGGAGGAGGAAGATGGCGATGAGGAGGAGGAGGAGGAAGATGGCGATGGGGAGGAGAAGGAGGAAGATGGCGATGGGGAGGAGGAGGAGGAGGAAGATGGCGATGGGGAGGAGAAGGAGGAAGATGGCGATGGGGAGGAGGAGGAGGAGGAGGAGGAGGAAGATCGCAATGGGAGTAGGAGGAGGAGGGAGGAAGAAGATGGCGATTGCGTAGGACTGTAGAAGAAGGAGGAGGAGGACGAGGAAGAAGATCGCAATGGGAGGAGGAGGAAGAAGATCGCGATGGGAGGAGGAGGAGGGAGAAAGAAGATAGCGATGGAGTAGGAGGAGGAGGAGGAGGAGAAAGATGGGCTGTGGGAGCAGGAGGAAGAAGATCGACTGGAGGAGTAGGAGGAAGAGGAGGAGGAGGAGGAGGAAGAAGATCGCAATGGGAGTAGGAGGTGGGAGGAAGAAGATGGTGATTGCGTAGGACTGTAGGGGGAGGAGGAGGAGGAGGAAGAAGATGATGATCGGCCATTAGGTGTTTATAACGTACCTTGACGGCGATGTCGACGACAATCGATGGCGACGTCTACTGCGCACGAGACGCAACGGGCGATGGCAACGGCCGATGGTGATAGGCGATGGCGATAGGGGATGGGCGATGGTGACTCCTCGGGTGGTCGGCTATGGCGGATGGGTGTAGGTGATGAACGTGGAAGAAGGGTTGGGGTGGCCGGCTATGGTGGATGGGTGTAGGTGATGGAGGTAGGAGAAGGGTTTGGGTGGTTGGCTATGGTGGACGGGTGTAGGTGATGGAGGTGGAAGAAGGGTTGGGGTGGCCAGCTATGGTGGACGGGTGTAGGTGATGGAGGTGGAAGAAGGGTTGGGGGGGTCGGCTATGGTGGATGGGTGTAGGTGATGGAGGTAGAAGAAGGGTTGGGGTGGTCGGCCATGGTGGATGGGTGTAGGTGATGAAGGTGGAAGAAGGGTTGGGGTGGTTGGCTATGGTGGATGGGTGTAGGTGAGGGAGGTAGAAGAAGGGTCGAGGTGGTCGGCTATGGTGGATGGGTGTAGGTGATGGAGGTAAAAGAAGGGTCGGGGTGGTCGGCTATGGCGGATGGGTGTAGGTGATGGAGGTAGAAGAAGGGTTGGGGTGGTCGGCTATGGTGGATGGGTGTAGGTGATGGAGGTAAAAGAAGGGTCGGGGTGGTCGGCTATGGTGGATGGGTGTAGGTGATGGAGGTAGAAGAAGGGTCGGGGTGGTCGGCTATGGTGGATGGGTGTAGGTGATGGAGGTAAAAGAAGGGTTGGGGTGGTCGGCCATGGTGGATGGGTGTAGGTAACGGAGGTAGAAGAAGGGTCGGGGTGGTCGGCTATGGTGGATGGGTGTAGGTGATGGAGGTAGAAGAAGGGTTGGGGTGGTCGGC